GAGAGGTAATAGTAGATCTACCCTGGCTGGTATCACAACGACGTTTACCAAGGAAGGTAGGTTCGAGTGTGATGACGAATCGTTCCTTTGAGCGCATAAAGCTGGTTGAAACTTCCTAATTGGTAGCTAGGGCTTCGACAAAATTTAGGGTACTTACTCTGCAAACACATTATGTAGATAGCTTTAAAAGACGTGTAGAAACATCAGTTTTATGTCCTGTCTGTATAATATGTTTCACAATAGAGGAGCTAGGTTTCTTGTTCTCACGAATAATTGGTTCTGGGGATTCTATTTACTTCTGAAGCCAGCCCATACTTAGAGAGATCGACGAGTCCTCCCTATATATGTGTATCCACACGTACATTAAAATTGGTAAATACAGTGAGAGGATGCGACATCCTTTTTCACTTGCTCAAGGGGCTTAGCTGGATGGATATATTGGCTTCACATTTTCAATTATTATGATATTAGCTGCATAAAAAGTCTTTTTAACCACAGAAGCTTTCAATTTTTGTCTAATTGTCAAGCTGATATGACCCCCCATCATAGAGGGTAGCTTGATTTGCACGTCTTTGTCAGTGGTGGGTTGGAAAGATTGGGACTTGGTGTTCTGATTAATTATTATTATTATTACACGAGTTAATTTCTATTTTTCTGAAGAATGAAGATATTTGCTTCTTGTATTCTGAGGGTACTTATTAATATTTAGTTATAATTACATTAATAATTCACTAGGAAATAATAATTCATTGGATACTACTCATTTTATTATTAGTAGGAATAATTTGTATATATATATATTTAACATTGATTACACACAAATAAATCATCGGTTATAATTTATATTCTTCAAGAAGGGAGAAATATTAAGCCACTTGATTATGAAGACTGTAAAATTATGCCCATGGATTCTGGCAAAGCGGGTAATGTGCAGGAGAAATTCCAAGGCTATCTATACATCATCGTCATCGTCATCATCGAACAGAGCGTAGGATGTCTCTGGAAAGGCCTTCGGCAGCGTTGATCACGAAGCAGTTTTGGAAGCTGTTTCAATACTACAAAAAGCCCCATATCTTTATGGTCAATTGATTTACCCGTGGAAAACTCAGTGAAGCCGTTTATATAAAGCAATAAGAAGACGTAATTTGTCTGAATCGTGTAATGTATTTGCGCAACACATTTCGAACGATTTGATCACACACGGACTTGTCATAGCAATATATACGTCCGAAATTAATAAAGAGGTAAGAGGTGAGAAAATACACTTAGATCAAGTTAAAACGACATATTCAAGGTCAAAATAACAATGAAGACCACTAAACCAAATAGCAGAGGTAATAGTAAAACTGCTATGGTATCAAAACAAAATTTACCAAGGAAGGTTTAATGTGATGACGAATTGTTTTTGAACTCATAAAGGTGGCTTAAACTTTCTAATTGCCAGCTAGGGCTCCCACAAACTTTAGGATGCGCCCCAAACACGTTTTAAAGATAGGTTTATAAGATCTGTTAACATCAATTTCATGTCCCGTCTCTATAATATGTTTCGCAATAGAAGAGCTAGGTATCCTGTTCTCACCGTTAATAGGTTGTGAAGATTCCATTTGTTTCTGGAGCCATTTAGGAATATGCTCTGAAGCCAGCCCTTACTTGCAGAGATCGATGAGTCCTCCCTATATATGTGTGTCCACACGTACATTCAAATTGGTAAATACAGTGGGATGTGACGTCATTTTTCGCATATTCGAAGGGCTTAGATAGATATATTGGCTTTACATTCTCTACTATTATGATATTGGCTGCATGAAAAGTCTTTTTGACAGCAGCGTTCAGCTTTTGTCTAGTTATCAAGCTGCTATGATGCCCCATATAGGGTAGCTTGATGTACACGTCTTTCTTAGGGGCGAGTTGTAGAGTGGGTCTTGGTGTTCCGCCGACTACCTTATATCTCCTGATGAACTTGTCTGGATAATTGTTATCAACCAGAGTTTGTGTCAACTTTCTTTCTTCTTCATCAAGTGTGTCTTCAGTGCATATTCGTTGGATTCTACTGAAGAGACAGCCTACTAAGTCACTTTTGTACCGAACGGGGTAGAAACTGTGGTGATTTAGATACTGTCCTGTCCAGGTAGGCTTTCTATAAATACATCTTTTTATCAACCCATCAAGCTGTCGACTAAGCAATATATCTAGGAAAGATAAACAATTATCTTCCTCTTCTACAGATGTAAGTGATATGCTACTCTGAACTTCCTTCATTCGATTTAAAATTAAGGTGGCAGAACAAGACTTATCACTGATGAAGCCGTTTATGCGAAAACAGGAGACTACGATCATCGATGATAGACTGGATCATGCAGGATATGGTGCGTTCGAAGGGTGAAGATAGGAATACGTTAGAACAACAAGAATGCTGTAGAAGATTTGAACTTTGTGGATGATTGCAAAATCGAAGACTCATAGGTGAAGACAACAACAAGTTGGCAAAAGAGGCAGGCAGGAGAGACAGAATCTCAAGTGAATATGGCGAATACAGAGGTGATAAAGATACCCCAAATGACTAACAACAATAAGCGCCAGTCACTATCAACGGGAGAAGTCCAAATGGAGGTCACTCCCTTCACTTATTTGGATAGCATCGTTTTAACTACAGTCGGTAAACCTGAGGCAGGAAAAGTAGGATTGACCTTCAATGCTCCTTAGTCAGGGTGGAGATCTACTGTACTTAGAATACGGAACATGATATGGGCGGATCTTTAGCACTAATGTCAAGTCAGTCTTCGCTTCCGTATGGCTCAGATACGTGGTTTGCACATAACGAAAAGCATTACCGATAATGGGCCATAGAACACTTTAATTGAGAGCTGTCTTCTCTAGGTCATTACTGAAGAATAAATGGATGGCCGGAAAGGTTTAGCAACAATGATAATTCTTGATACGGAACAACCAAGAACCTGTCACCCAACAAATATGCAGCAGGAAATAGAAATGGGTCGAACATAAGCTAAGGGGAACATAGAACGACAGTGTGCATTAAGGTCTAGAGTGGATGGGACCTTAATGGGAAGCAACGGGTTGAGTGTGGCTCTTATGGTTGCATGAAGCAGTTTGTATGAAAAGGAGATGAGACTTTATGCGCAACCATGGAGTCAGTTGAAGACGATTGAGGGGAATAGACTGAAACTGAGATGGGCTGCTGTCACACTTGGAACCTAAAGGACTAATAACAATGCGCTTCATTTGTTACAGTTGTATTTAGCTAGTTGACAAATTATTCTATTAACTAAGAGTGTAGAACCAATCAGATCCCTTCAAACCGATCCACGAGACTGTATCAAGTGCTCACTAGTTACTGACTGAATACAACATCAAGTTGTTTGGAGACCAGGACAACTACACATTGACGGCGTTGGCTGGAGGCGATGCTATGTGTGAAGAGAGTCAGCTGAAGTTAGAATTCACGGGTCAATCACTGGACACTATCTCAGTTGCTATATGGCTGACTGACTGAATGACGGAATGATTCTCAGCATAGAACACGGCACAGAAGTCCGATAGAGGCTCATTTCACCCCGCTTCGAATAGTACACAAATACGGAGAACACCAAACGGGAAGTAATTCAAGAGAAATTTCATGAGCAGGAATGCACTGCAGTAAAAACAGTAATACGGAAGGTCTAGGCGATTAAAAAAAGTGAACGAACAGGGACAATTTTCAGCTATATCACCAATTGTCATCAGCATCAAAGAGTCTCCAAGCCGACAGGCTAAACTTCTTCAAGTGGCTTTCTCAAGCAAACTGTCGAAAACTTCATGGACTGATGTTGTGTTTTGATTTGTCCCACCCCTCTCTCAATAACTCTTTCCCAACCTATTCTCACGTCAACTAGCATAGCTCGTTGAGAAAAGCAGTGGCTTGGCATGCACAACACGTGCCCTAGCCAATTCATTTGACCGGCTGAATGGTTAACGAGCTCATCTTGTAACCCCGTGTGTTTGTTCCGTCATAGGTGCGTACTCCTAAAGCGTCCGAGACTATGACGAGACATTTGTCCAATAGGCTACCTGTCTTTGAATAGTTCTTCAGATGATGTCTGTCAGTGATCTAATTAGGGCTTTCTGATTAATGTTTCAATAGCAGTGCTGTTGTTTCTAAGGTTGGCGTGATATTGCTACCTTCAAATTCAACTTTCCTTTATCTCCACGTTTCCTACCGGCTAGTAAACTGGACGAGTGCGTCAGAGTGCGTCAGCTGGAATTCGAGCTCGAACCGATTAGCATGTCCGATGAGTACTCGACGGTGAAATCACTGACGTATCAGTGGGGCAAAAGCTGTAAAATCCTTCAGAAATATATAAATCAGACGGTTTACAGGTATCCCCTACTGAGATCCTTCTTTTGGTTGGATAACTGAGAAGGGAATATACCAACATGTGTTGCAAAAACAACACACTTCTCAGTGACTACTGTCCTTTGAGAAAAATCATCAGTAAACATTTTTACTCACACAACGCCTAATGAAATAAATAATCCTGATAATACCAAAAAAAATCATAATTACCGTTTTCATGGTTTTTCGTGTTTTTTTCGTTTTTCTCTCTTCTACCGAATTTTTAAGATCACGACAACACGACAACAAGATAACTACTCATATGTTGTTTAACTGATAATAATGTCTCACGCATTTATTTCCCAGACAAATTACTTGAAAAGCAAAGAAAAACGCCCACGCATTTGTTATTTCACTTGTCAGAGAGGTGTCAGCCTGTTTTTCTGATTGGTTTATCTTGTAAATAAATCTGTCCAATCAAATATCAGTATTATTGCTTGTTAAGAGATGCACTCTATTATATGGGCAAATAGTCCATCCTGAAACACTGAGATCATTATAACATTTATTTTATCAATACATGCATAAGATTATGAATAATACTCATAATATAACTATAGATAATGCTTCAGTATATTAGTAATAAGTTTTTACTTACAATTTACATCATCATTATACCAATGATTGCAGGTATTTTATGTTATGTTACTATGGCAACCACACTGAATACTGCTACTGTCAGTACTACTACTGATGATAAAATAATGCACATTTCATATAGAATTAAAGAAGAACTCCCTAATGGTACATTGATTGGTAATTTATTCAAAGATGTGGTAGAATTATATAAGAAGTTTAAATTGACTGCCGTATCACTGTTGCATTCAGTTAAACAAATGCGAAAATTCGAATTGAACACATATGACACCGATTTAAAACGAGTGAATCAATATTTCAAATTAGATCAAAACACAGGGAATTTATTTATACAAAAATCTATTGATTATGAGACAATATGTCCAAAAGGCTTAGCCTATCCCACTATTTCAACACCTATAGCGTCAACATCATCGTCCCTTACTCCCAAGCAACTGACTACCGCTGATTTTGACAATTTGAAATTAAAAGTTAATCCAAAAATGAATGATGATTGTATCATCAAATTGATTTTATTTGTAAGTTTAAATAATTCAATCGATGAACGATGGATACCAATTATTGTGCATATTGATGATGTGAATGACAACCGACCTGTGTTCCTGGAAGTCACTTCACCTAAATGGTCAGGATTCTTTCACATACCAGTTGAAGAGAATACACCTACGGGGACACAACTCCCTCTGGTCAAAGCCTTTGATGCTGACAGTGATTTGAAAAACTCTGAAATTATATATAAACTTCAATTTGATGGACCAGAATTGTTTAGCCTAAAAACAACAGGTTGTTTCATCAAAGAAATCAGTAGTCATGGTGATAAGACAATGATGACACGGAGCACTGGAATTACGCATAATCTACCCTGTCTAGTTGTCATGGCCCAATTGGATTATGAAACTGAGCCGAAAATTTACTTTTTACAATTGTTGGCTTGTGAATCCGGTTACCCACAATCGGAATGTTCTTCTTTGCCTATAAAAATCGAAGTGATCGATAAAAATGATAACGCACCAAAAATAATCTTCCCACCGAATGCTTATCATGTGGTAAATATATCTGAGAATCTACCAATAGGTTCAGTGATCTTAAAGATTGAAGCAGTCGATAAGGATAGTGGTGAGAATTCACGTCTCACGCATAGTTTAACACAGAATAATCATAACACTGGTGGTGGTGGTGGTGCAAGTGTTGGTGGAAATCAGGATAATCAATTTTCTATCGATTCAGAAAATGGTGAAATTCGTTTGACAAAGTCGTTGAATGCTTATGACACATCGCAGATTGAAGTCACTTATCATGTTTCAGATAATGGATCCCCAGTGCATAGAATATCACAGACGATTTTATTCAACATATTGGACGTGAACAATCATGCACCGAGTATAGAGATTAAAAAGGTTGGCTGCAGTAAATTCACTGAACGCATGAATGAAATTCATGCAGCGTATACTATTGAATCAGGTAGTCATTTAGGCTTTATTATTGTATCCGATGGTGATGTGGGCAGAAATGGTCAAGTGAGTTGTACTCACCGATTGGAGAATTATAATGACAATTGGAATAGAAGATATTTAAATGTGTTTAAAATTAATTTAGTGAGTAATGGTCAAATAGCAAATCGATATTTGTATACATTACAAATACTACGAGTTGACAATGAAGACACGGACCAAACATTATTGGGCAATGTGGATGGAAAGAATTCAGTGCCAAGTTTGTTGGCAGCCTCAGCTACCATGGTGATCACTTGTAAAGATCATGGTATCCCATTGGCGTTGACTTCATCAACAAGTATCACGATTACACTGAGTGATACACAAGAGACCGAGTTATGCTTTGAACAGGCCAGTTATCAGATAACAGTGGAAGAATCCAATCATCCAATGGGTGGCCTTCTTCGACCTCAACTGTTAGATCTTGTCAGTGGGGTGAGGTATAGCTTACATGCTAGAAACGATCAGTTCAATGCGGGTGGTGGTGGTGGTGGTGGGTGTGATCAGCTCGAAATCGATCGGACAACTGGGGAAATATCAGCGCCAAACGGTGTTGACAGAGAGAAATCGGCCTACATTTCTTGTATCATTAAGGCAACTGAACAAGGAGTTTATCATGAGGGTGGTGGAGAGATGCAGTATCGAACTGCAAATGCTGAAATTCTTATCAACATAACAGATATCAATGACAATGAGCCTAGATTGATAGCTGATAGCCTATTGTATGGATTTGCAATCTACGAATGGGATATGTATGCTTCGGCTTTCTCGAGTAATGATGACTACAACAGCGCTGGCGCTGGCGCCGGTGCCAGTGCGGAAGACAGTCAACCACATGTAATTGGTTATCTGAATGCATTTGATCAAGATTTAGGCGAAAATGGTACTGTGAGGTATTTTCTACTACACGTGACTCCTGAAAAGAATCAAAAATCGATTGAAATGAGACAAATGCTAAATAATGAAATAATCAATATGACTACTACTACTAGTATTACTAATTACAGAAGTGGCAATCCTCGCTTAAAACCTGCATTTCATATCGATTCAACTACTGGACTAATTAGTCTACCAAAAAGTAATCATCGATTGATCAATAGGGAAGATGTCAATATCTATACCCTACAGATATTGATTGAAGATATGGGTTCACCGAAAAAGCTGACCTCTGTACAGAACATTAAAATTCATGTGACTGATGTCAATGATAACCCGCCAATCTGGTTACAAGCAATCACTGTGAATCGTATTCAAGCAGCTAACAAAGCGATTCTTCTTTATCAGCTGGAACCAATCTGGGAGATAAATCAAAATTCACCAACTGAACTAAAATCAATCCTAAGAGCTATTGATTTTGATTATGGTGATAATGCTAGACTTGAAATGTATCTTATTCAACCAAATAGTATATATAAAGAATTTATAGGAATGGATAAACTCAATCCTCCAATCAATTCATTACGATTATCCGCTCATGGTGAATTACACCTGGATATTGATCGATTAAAAGAGAATTATGAGTATTGTGTATTTGTACGTGTCCAAGATCAAGGTATACAACGTCAACTCTATACAGATGCCTATTTTCTTTTACACTTACCAATACAAACAAAAAATCGATTAGAAATATTGACAAATTCAATTTATCATCAATTAAATCAATCAATAGGTAATTATAGAATGAAGCCATTGAATGGAAATCAATCCTTCGCCTCATCATCCTCATTATTATTTGATAATAATGTGGATAATTCACAATTTGCTGGTGGGTTAAGTAAAAAGGGCATTGTAATTGTATTGATTATATCGATTACCTTAGTGATCATTTTATCTGTTATTATCATATTTATAATTATATTTAAAATTAGAAAATTTAAAATCCAAAAAATTCAAGCTACTTATCATAATAATAATACTAGTTCTAATGATGGTAACAATAATAATAATAATGTCTACATGAATGATAATCAGATAATGCCTAATGAATTCATATTACCGCATGAAAATCAATATTTAAATCCAGTCCAGAATTCAAATGATTGTAGTGGTAATCAATTAATCTTATCGAATAATTTGACATTGACAACTGGGCTTACTACTACTGGTACTACTGTCACTCATACTACTGATTACCCTTATAAGTATTATAATGATGAAATGAGTAAAAAACATGGAATGCAAATAATGAAGTCTCATAAATCACAGACGTCATCGTGTGATGTACTTCTTCCGCATATATATGCTAATTCAGCCAATTCTTATGATTCTAACAATATCAATAATCAACTGTCTAGTTATACTACTTACAATACTACTGATAATGCTCTCACACCCGTTTATAATAGTAATAATAACAATAATGATAATAATTATTATTACTATCGACAACGCAATGATGTTTGTCAGTCGGAAGAGTGGTCGACACCGAATGCCCTGAAAAATCATTATGTTATGCCTAATGATCCTTATCATCAATTGACTTTACCGTCAAGAGGTAGAGGTGGAGGTGGGAGAGGTAAATTATCGAAGATGTCTAGACTGACAACGACAACCAACAATAATAATTACAATACATCAATGAATTATTCACCGTATCCTGTATCGATTCGAGGAAATTACAATCAAACGTTACCGAGACAGTTCTAAGATGTACGCATATACAAAAACAGACATATCCTCACAGTCGCTTCTGATAACACACACGTGCACACACACATTCAGTCAAAGATAATCCTTGATTTCTTACTGTTGAAGTTTTACACTTGATTTCCTCAGTGATGTGGTAAATTCGAGAGGTTTTGTTTTTGTGTATTTTTTTATGAAATATATTTTTCGATATTCTTTTATTTCTGAAATATTCTGTCAACAGAATACACCTAGTTATTATCCGTTAGTAACCATTTTTATTTATCTCCTAAGCAAGGAAAGACTAAGTAGACGAAAGATATTGATTTTTTTAGTTGTGATTTTTCTTCCCTTGGGTTCCCAGTGAAACGTGAGGCTTCAGTTGCACGGCTCTACATTTCTTCATCCCGATTCGCTGCTGCCTCCCGTAACTGACCCCATGGTTTCGCATAGTCTTCCCTCACACCGACCCCCCACTCGTCACATCCCATCGGGATTCCACCTGAGCGATGGCCTGCACTGCGCATAATAACATTCAACAACCTCCCCAGTATAAGTCCAGTCCATCTCCATTTTCTCCGACATATTTTTTGAGCAATCGGATCTCGCCTGTTGGTTTGTTCCCAGACAGAGTTTCTTCTTACTAATTCTTTCTGGACAGCCGGCCGGCCGGCTATTTGACCTTTGGTAGGCAGACAGCCAGAGAAGGAGGCAGCTGTTGATAAACGTCTGCACTGGCTTTTATGACATCAGACGTATCATATGCGAAATGCAGATCTTCTATTTGTAACCCATAGAAATAATTAAATGATTAAAAGAATGAGAATCAGAGAACTTTTGATGTATTATATTTTGAATGAAAATTTAGCTGACCGCGTTATTCGAAAAGGCCGGTAACTTCCGAGTACATTCTATTGAAGAGCCCTGCAGTGGGGCGAAACCACCCTGTCCAGTTTTATACCTCGGAAAAATGAGATTGGTTCATGACGAAATCCATACTCTAGTTGGTTAAAATCTCCACAAATTCCAAAATCTTAATCGTTAGAATTGCAAGGAATTACCTAAACTACATCTATGAACATAGAGAAAACGCAGGTTATGAAAATAACCAACCAACCAACCAACCAACAGCAATAACAAACAGCACAAGTCTTTATCAAAGAGGGAAATTTGAAATGAGTCACTTCCTTCACTTATCTGGCTAGGAAGCACAGTTTCAACCACAGGCAATCGGAACGGATGAGGATGTCAAAGCCAGCCAGCCAGCCAGAATCGAGAAGGCTTCATCAACGCTTTCATCAACTTTGAACCAGTATGGAAGTCTTTTGCACTAACTCAACTAGCACAAAGAACAAGATTGGGATTTTCAGCACACACGTGAAGTCAGTCAGTCACTTCTTCTATTTGGGTCAGAAACTTGGCCAGCGTGTTATGAAAAGCATTTCCAACAAACTGTTACAATCTTTTATCAATATCAACCCAATTCGTTGGCTGGTTCCATACTGAAGATCAAATGGCTGACTGGCTGGCCAGAAAGAATTAGTAACAAAAGCTCTGGCTGGGAGTAAACCAACAGGCGAGAACCGATTGCTCAGAAAAAAGTCGAGATGGATCTGGCATACTTTGAGGAGTACGTGGAATGACATCGCGTGCAATGTAGGCCATCGCTCGAGTGGAATCCCCATGGGAAGTGACGAGTACGTCGTCGGTGCGGGGATGACATGGAGGAGATCGTATGGCGTGGCGAGGAGGAGATGATAGACTGTGGTCAATTGTGGGGCTAACCAGCTGAAGAGAACAGCACGAGAATAGAAGGAAGCAGAAATGGGCTGTTGAATCACCTCGCTCCAATCGGAACCCAAGGGAATAATGATAATAGTAATGGGTTACAAAACGTAGTCAAGTACATTTTTTATTTGACTTTTAACGTCACTCATGGGAAATTCCCCCTGGGAAATAAAGGAAATCAAATCAAGTAATGATTCGGATAAAGTATTCCTTTCAATGAATTGATTATCAAAGTGTACAATCTTAAATGGATGGTTTTTAGGAAATTATAGAATAGTTGGTAATTTAAACAAAGAAATGTATACAAAAATTATAACAGTAGTAGTACGAAAAACAATTTAAATAATTCTGATTATTTTTCCATGACAACACATTTAGACGGACGATATTGTGGTTTCAATTGGATCTCATCATCAGGCTTAACCCTAATATGCCTACATAACTTTACAAATAAATATTCAAATATAAACCAATCATGGTGTTTTGTCAACAGGATAACAATAATAAGATTGTGCATATAAATTGTGCAATTAGTCATAATAATAGTAATGATAATAGCAATAATGGTTCTAACAATAACAAGGATGGATTATTCGACTGGTTTCATAAGGAGATATGAAAACGTTGGACAGAAAGCCCGAGACTATAACTGTATCACAATTTAATTGTAACTTGTAAAGTGAGATTTTATTCCAGAGACTTTCTAGGAGTATACGAAGAACATTTTACTCAGCAAACCTATGTTTGTCACTCTCTGGCCAAGGAATGATTGAGACACAAACGAAGGATAGGACTAGATAGTTTTGCCGTACCAGTGTGCATTTATCAGTTCAACTTCCCCTGTGTTGACAGTTATGTTGGGCGTAATAATAGACAGCTTAGCCAGCGTGTCACTGCTAAACATCTCCCATCGTGGTCTGGCAAAGGATAGAAAAATCAATCCGTAGCTCAATTTTGTCACACTTAATTGATAGTGGTCATGTAGTGGAGAAGACGAAAGCTTTCAAGGTAGTTCATTGCATCCCACTGAATCTTTCTAATAGACTTCATGTTCGTCTAGTGTGCACATCTGAGGCGATGGGCACTCTAAAAACTACGCCTAAACTATGCGTTCAAAAGAGGTTGGTATACAACCATTATCCCACCCTTGTTGGTCTTTTAAGACATAAACCAACTGATAACTCCTCCACCACCCCTTACGTATATTTCCAACCCCTCTCTTATCATTCCTTAATCTGATCACATCTTCATAAAAACCTATTTCATTATTATGTTTCCTTACAATCTGGCATTACATAATCGGTCCACTTGTTTTTCTCAGCCTTGATCGACTACAATGTCTACCTGAACATCTTCATTAAAACATATTTTATTTACTTCCTTTACAATCTAGCATTACGTAATCGGTTCATTTGTTTATCTTAGCCTTCATCGACTATTATATTTACCTGAACATTTATTTGTTTAATCACGCTGTATTTCGTCATTTTTGTTATCGCAGATCGCCTCATTTTTTCATCCTTGTTAATGATAGAACCATTATTATTATGATAACTTATCGCACAGTTTATATGCACAATCTTAATGTCCCATTGACAAAACACCGTGATTAGTTTATATTTGTAAAGTTATGTAGGTTTATTAGAGTTAAACCTGATGAGATCTAATTGAAACCAAAATATTGTTTGCTTCAATCTCTTGTTCTAAATTTTACAATGGGATTGTTTTTAATTTATTTTCGTTCCCAGTGGAACATATGCCATCAAGCTGTTGTTTGGAAATTCAGTAGCAGTGGTGTTTTTTCTCTGGATGGGTCTGCTAGCCTCATGCCCAACCTTCCCTCTTTACCGCACCTCTGTCGGGTAAGGGAAGTTCACGTATGATGTATAGATATTGGAAGGGGGTGTACTGTACACAATATGATGGGAAATTTGATAAGATAGAACTCAACATTGCAAGTAAAAAACGAATTTTGGTTTAGAATAACATTAATAAATTCTAGGACAAAACAGCCATCCAATACTCCTAGCTGGTTGTTCAATGGCTCTCTATCTATATGATAGCAGTCTGCTTGTGATTAAACCTGCAACCATTCAAATCGACGAAAACCAACATTTGTTCAATAATTTGATGATCACTGGCGACTGACTGTATGCAGCAAGTTACCTGGATTTCTAGTGAGAAGTTGTAACCGGCAAGGTGTACAAAGTCTGGTAAGAAAAACGGTTATTGACTTGTGACACTGGCTGGTGATTGCGATATAAATATAGCGAATCGGAAGAGGTAGGAATTCATGCGATATTGAAACAGGTCCCGTCCCAGTAACTGGATGGTCTACGAACTAGCCTTGTAATCGGAAAGTCCTGGAATCGAACCCCATGGTGTAGGTGCATGCTGTGAAGAGTCCCAAACTAGGACGATAAAAAACAGCTGTCCAGTACTCCCAGCTGGTTCTCTGTAACTGATGTCAACTCGTGGGCAGATCTGTAACCAATGGTTTTCTAACTGATAACAGCTCATGATGAAATCCTGTAACCAATCAAATCTCTGCAAACCAAAAATTAATAATGATAAATTCATTGGAAACAGTCTCTTTTCGCTGAATCACTTGCTTTGATTTTAACATAATGGCCAGTATCTCTCAAATAAAGCTGTTATTATTGTTATTATACTATCATGGTTATCGAATCTAAGGTGTACAGGATAAGAGGCCAGCTCATTGTCAATCGGAGGTATAGCATACTAATGGCTGAGTGGTCAACGAAAACTCTTCCGAGGAAGCTATGGGGTAGAATCATGGCTTGCAAACTGCTGAAGAGTTCCACCGAACTTGAACAAAACACCTTTCGCTATTTTATTCAACAGTTCTCTTCTTGATGTCACTTTGTAACAAAAGACTTTCAGGGTTAAAATGCGTCGGTGACACAGTGGTCAGGACTCTCGCCGACCATGCACATGGTCCGGAGTTCGATCCCCTGCCGACGCACACCTGATATCTGTGGTCGGCCTTGAAAATTTAGGCTACCGATATCGCAGGCTGAAAATTCCATGCCTGTACCAAAAAGATACAGTGTGGAATCAAGCTGCAATCGAAAAAATAAAAATAAATAAAAAATGATAGAAAAATAACTAGACGTTTGAAAAACAAAAAAATAAAAGAAGAGGAGATACGAACTGGAAGCACCATAGGCTCATTCACAATGGGATAATAATAATACGGTTTACTCAAAGGGAATAAATCTAGCCTATCGTTTAGATTGTTTGAAGATATGTAAACTTTGCCCTATCATCATGCTTT